TTTGTTGTACAAAAAATTGAAAACTATTTTAGCACAAAAATTAATACACCTAAATATGTATAGTCATAAAGTACTAATGGTAATATATCTGATGAAAACAAAAAACCATAGAAAGTTTYATATTTCAGTTATAAAAAAAAATTTAATTGCTTAAAAAAAATTATCTCGAACATAGGTTTATTTAATTACTACTTACTATAACAAAATATATACCTGTATGTCATCAAAATAATTAGACTGAACAGTATATTATAAATAAATGTAAAAATAGTACATAGAAATAGCATAATAAAATTCACTATTATTTTTGAGTTTAACCTTGACATAAACTTTTAAGGTCAGTTTCTACTATGCAAAAAAAAATAATATCAAATTTGGTATTTATTAGGTAAAATAATTTTTGTCTTGATTAAATAAATTAATGAATTCAATATTTTTAAAAACAATTTTGAAATAAAAATATGTTCTTAATGTTTAACCAGTTTTTTAATTGTCAATAGTATTATTGTATATATTATTAGTTTAGGTACCTAAAATGTTTAATTTCAACTATAGCTAAGTAATATTTTATTCTTAAAGTTAGCAATTTATATTTTATAGTTTAAAGAGAAATCGAGATTTAGATTTACAACTGGTTTTTTTTTTTTGAAAATGTTTATGCTAGTTTTAAGTAAAAACTTAGTTCAAACAATTCTTATTGTTCTGACATATAATCGATTGTTTAAAAAATCAAGATTAATTTGACTTTATCATATATTAATTTATAAATTTAAAATATAACCTTTTTTATCTCAAGTTTGTAGTTGGAATTAGCCATTAGGCATTTTTAAGTATATCAACAAAATTATTTGTTGGATGATGAGTGTTATACAATTATTCTCCAATATAAAACTTACTCTTAAATTATCAATTTGTAAACTGCTATTATTTTACTTTATTTTAAATCATTGATCTTTAGATTATTACATTTTAATGTTTCTTTTTTTTTAATTAAATTATTTATTTTTAGGTGGAATTACTGGAGGTATAGAAATATGTATTACTTATCCAACTGAATATGTAAAAACACAAATTCAACTTGATGAAAAAGCTGGTGCTAGAAAATATAATGGTATTTTGGATTGTGTTAAAAAGACTGTGAAAAGCCATGGTATATTTGGTCTATATCGTGGACTTAGTGTGTTACTTTATGGATCCATTCCAAAATCAGCTGTTAGGTAAATTAAAAAAAWTTTTTTACAGTTATTACTACAATGTATTTTAACAAAACAATTCCATAATAGGTTTGGTGCATTTGAAGCTCTCAGCACTCAGATTTCAGGAGGCAGTGGAGAATTAACAGCTACTCAAAGAGTCCTGTGTGGTCTTGGTGCTGGTGTATCTGAAGCCATACTTGCCGTCACCCCAATGGAAACCGTGAAGGTGAAGTTTATCAATGATCAACGGTTAGAAAAACCAAGGTTCAAAGGTTTTTTCCACGGGACCAGTATTATCATCAAAGAACAAGGTTATTAACGAAACAAAATTATGTGAAACTGTAATATTTATGTGCTTAAATTAATATGCATAATAATACTATAATCAAAGGATAAATTATTCTATGTTAATAGTATTGTTTTATTTCAATTTATACAAAGTTATATTGCACTTTGCACATATATTTGTCACCATCTATAMTCTGCCTATTCTTCCCACTGTCCATGCATTCCAATTAAATATGTGTTTCATTTTTAACTGTTCAAAGAACAACAAGCTAAAAAAGCTTGACAGTTTTTAAGTGCCAACTGAATTTGTAAGATGTTCATTAATATATGTGAAATGCTATTTATAAACCTTAGCAATGTTRGTTGGAACAAAAAAAAAAWGATTATTATTAGTTATAAAAACAATTAATTTAACTTTATTGAAGTAAAATTTAAAATTCAAAATGAATTATGAAATTTTAATTTATATATAAAAAGAGTAACTTTTTTGTTCAATAAGTACATTTTTCTTACAATTGTAAGTGTTTAATTGTTAATAAATTATATAATGACATTTATCATTTAAAAAAAACAAATTGTTSAACGCTTACTTATTTTTCAGTTATACTCTTGTGATGGGAATAATAAGCTTTGAATGTTAAGTGTTACTRTTCTTACTTATTTAATTCTTTGTCTCTAATAACTCCATAATAAATTAAATCAATCACATATCTTATTATTAGCCATTGGGTATGTTTTCATATGAAAGGGTTGGGTTATGGAAGAAGATTTCACATTTAATTATTTAATCTACGTCTTTAAATTTAAATATTTAACTCTTTAGCACTTTCTATTTTTATGTTGTTATAAATGTAATGATTTTTTTGTTAAACCATTATATTATATACATAAGATTCAAAAGCTAATGTATTAACTCAATTTTATATATTCTTTTGGATTTATCATGTTTATTACTATATACCTTATAGTTGTAGGAAATGAAATTATAAGTAAAATAAMATTTAGGCATATTGTATAATGTATATGTCTGATATGACACAAAACAACTTAAATATTAACTTTAAAAATAGTACAGATCTTACATCATGGTTGCATATTGTTTTTAACWCTTATACATCCATGTGTAAKATATTTATATTATTATAGTTATTATAACATACATTTTTTGTTCTAAGAATAATTCTAATTTATAGTTGACATTTTTATCCTTATTAGTTATTAGTTATTTCTAATAGTATTTTAATTTACAACTTAAAAAGTAATTTTGACTAATATAGCCATTATTACATGTCCCAATAAAACTGTTTAACATATTTTTTTCTTTACATTATGTTCTATGATTTAAGGCTAAATTAATTTTTTCATTTCACATGTTGAGAGCATATTTATGCTTTATTAAGTGCATATATGGTATTAGAGTATTAAGTGTTGAGCTTTTACTGTTAGTATTTGTATTATTATCAAAATTTAAATTTAAACTTTTCACAAAACAATAATATTTTATAGGTATTAGTGGTGTTTATCAAGGATTGATGCCAACTATATTGAAACAAGGTACTAACCAAGCAATTCGATTTTATGTAATGGGTGCATTAAAAAATCTCTACAAGGGCGATGATCCTAACAAACCAGTACCAAAACTATTAGTTGGAGTTTTTGGTATGGCAGCAGGTGCCGCTAGTGTTTACGGTAATACACCATTAGATGTGGTTAAGACACGCATGCAAGGACTAGAAGCACATAAGTACAAGAGCACAGTTGATTGTATGGTTCAAATATGGAAAAAAGAAGGACCCACAGCGTAAGAATTATTTTAATTATGATTAACATTTTTTTTTATTTACATCTCAACTTAATTTAGATACAAGAGTTAATATTAAAAAAAAAAATAAAAATAATAATGATTTTCCATTTATAAGTGATATTATACTTTCGTTTAGGTTTTACAAAGGAACTGTGCCACGGCTTAGCAGAGTATGTTTGGACGTTGGCATTACTTTCATGATTTATGATTCATTTATGGATCTCTTCAAAAAAGTATGGCCCTGAGTTACTTCTTCAAAAATATGAACAACTATATAAAAATATTATTAAAAGAAAAAGTACAGTGTCTAATTATTTCTGATAGATGGTTACAGTTTACTGCATATAWATTTTACTTAATTATCGATAAATTAATCAATACTCCGTCAACTAAACTTTTTAAATGATTTTTTACTACTCAAATTTTAAAATTAGGATGAAAAATTAGGATCATTTAAATATTGTTATTTTTATTAAATCATTTAGTAGAAAAAAATATTTTTGTTGGAAATTTTTACATTCCAAAATGAATAATACGCACACATTTTTTGTAATAATTATTAATATTGTTTTGTTTTTTTTTTAGTTGAAAAATTATTAATTGGTTATTTTAGTTTGTCAATAAACATTTAAAATATTTATGTTTTATATTATATAATATATTTATATATATATTTTTTTTGAGATATAATTTTTTCTTTGTGTTCACAATATTTAAATTGTTGGGGTTTGTTAATTTGTCTGTTAGTACATAAGATTTGATGTTTTTACTTTTTTTTATATGGGAGATATCAATTAACAATTGATTAATCAAGATTAATATTTGCCATTTTATTAAGGTTAATGACAATAAGTAAAAATGTATTGTATTTTTATCTTAATTATTATCAAGAGTAAGATCTAAGAATATATTTTTTATATACTCAAAACTATGAAAACACATCTAAACTATTTAATCTAGTCTAAAAATATAATTTTATACATTTACATTTTGAATGTTACATAATACTATAAATTATAATACATCATACAAATTTTGCCATAATTGTTTAAATTTATAGACTACTGTATAATAATTATTGTTAAAAAGTTTTGTTTATGATATTTWTTTGTCATGTTTTGTAAGACTATAATATGTTTAAATATATCTKTAACATAGTGTATAGTAATACACTACATGTACATTGTACAATGTATTACAGATATTAGATAGAAACGTTTTCAAATATATCATATTTTTGTGATACATTTTATGTAAAAACAAAAAATTTTAATTGAAGAATTGAAAGATTTCAATAGTCTGATTGATAAACATASCTTCCATTATTTAAATTTGTTGTACTGTTATACCACTTTTTTCAGTGACGTACCCAAGATTTTTCAATCAAAGGGCGATAGGGGAAAAATACAATTTGGATTCTTAATTTTTTTTTTTCAGAATAATTTTGTATTGTTTGAGTTAGGAAAAATATTAAAATATTATGTACGTACACCTAAATCTAAAATGTAACTTTTAGATACAATGTTTTACAAAATATGAGTGAAATTATTAAAATGATTGAGTTATAAGTTGTTATTGTTTATTTAATAGTAAAACCTTATGAGAAATTTAAATTATTACTATAATAATGGATAATGATAGAATTAATGAAAATGCTGTTGACTTAAGTCACCATCATGCTGTGACCAAGGATTTTTGGGATAATTATTACAGACGATAAATTTGTGAATTGGTGAGTAGTGGGTACCTAGTACCTACTGCCATACTGAGCTGTGGGCAGTTGTCAGTCATATATCGCTACCAACCTATATATTATTATTTTTTCTGTACTTATTCAACCGCTAATGAGTTTTACCGAATTTATAAACACATCATTTTGGGAAGATTTTATTCAAATGTTCTTTCGGATACGTATATTTAAAATATTTTATTTTTTTCAAACTGACGGAACCGTTGATTCCGAACAACGAGTCGTGGGCCAGATGGGGTACAACTCTTGGAAAGGGTTTGGCTGTTTTTTAAGTAGGAGGCGATGTTCGATCAACTCTCACTATCAGTTTTTCGGAATCAACGGTGCAGAAATCGCAGATTCGGTGGACGTCTCTGATAACACTATTATAGCTGTTTGACCACGACTAATCTGAGACGTCCGCCGTACCTTGATTGATTGCTCTACCGTTGATTCCGCTGATAGATATTCTGCCGTATGATTATCGATGTCCTTACGGTGACCAGTAATAATGGATCGTCATCCTGCGAAGGACGTGGCCGACCAACTTGGTAAACGAAAAATTCTTCCGTTTATGACTGATGTCATTATCGTCGTATAGTTGCATCGGAATGTTGTGGTAGGTATGCCGATATTGGAGGTATTCCATTATTCCAATGTACGACGAAGTAAAGGGATACAATTTGTGTATAATAAATTAATAAACTATATTTAAATATTATTATTGCCGTATTTTAGGCGATGAGATTATGTAGTTATTCATAGTCAAACATATTTTTGTTATTTATCACRCCTATTATTATATTGCAGATATGTCCGTCATAAAAAATAGAAAAGTTGTGGGCATTGATGTAGCGTACAGGAATAGAAACCAACTAAAAGACTGCAATCATCTCTCCACCTAGACGTCACTTGAAATCTCGTTAAGARTTGAATTTTTCGTAAGTAGGTATTATATTTTATAGTAAGATATCAAAATGAAATTTAACCGCGATATTTTGATCACGTTCTAATCGTATATGAAGTTAATAATATTACCATTATAGACATTACTAATACACTAACACCGTAAATCATGTAGGTAAATTACAGTGGCGTCTCCAGCACAAAATAATTGGRTAGGCCCTTTTTTTCTTTAGTGTGTTTGTTTACAATTATTAAGGGAGATATTTTGTCCWATCACATGGTCGTCACATGGGACACGGATAGTGAATTTCTGGGTTTCCAATTTTGTCTGTTATCCTCTTAGTAACATTGTTTATATTTTTAAATAATTTTTAACAATATTGATTAAATTCTTAGAGTAATAATATTACTAGGAAATATGACTTTAGTCTTAATTCTTTATAGACTTTTAGAGACTTAGAGTAGAAAACAACTAAAAAATTAACAAAAATTAAAAATAATATTTATTTATAGAGTTAAGGACATTCGCCTATTAATAATAATATTTTTACTTGTAAAATGTTCACAATAAAAAATTATTGTGAAAAAAAAACCCAAACAGACAAATACAAATTAGTCAGGCSTGCGGACCTATAGTCAGCCTACCCTGTACACACGCGCCATTGATAAAAAAACAGTCGTTGCCTATACCATAATTATATTATACTTAATTGGGGGTAGTTGAAACTATTCAGTTGCTTCATTGCGTGATTATAGGTACTATTTTGACCCTCTACAATTTTCTTATGTCGTACAATAATCCAAGTAGAAAATATGTTTTAATATGAGCAATAAAATATAAATGTGAAAATGCTGAACTTTGATGTCGATGACGGTCTCCGAAACCACTCATCCGATAGCAGCGGTTCGCGTGTTACAAAATGGCAAGGGGAACTGTAATACATATTTTATTTTGAGCATTCATTCCATGCAATGTTTTTTCTTACCTACAAGTTGTAGGCTACAACAGTTTATTAATTTGTCGGACCAAACGTTTTTTTCTCAAAATATTAGTTGGTAAAATTGGTATTGTTAATATATAGGCAGCAAAAAATACCCATACCTACATAGAATTTAACACTTATTAATTTAACCTATTTTAATTCGATTGAATAATTGGTATAAATATGTATACWTATAGAAATAAAAATATAATATAATATTTTTCTTTCTTCTTTGGACATGATTTGACAAAATAGTTTTTTTTTAAACATGCCTATTTTGAGTTGAAAAAGTTGAATAATATAATTTATAAAACTATCGACGGGAACATAAAGTATAAGCTATTATATATATATCTCTTGTATGACTTTTCGGTACGTTGCACGTGYTAGAACACGGACGCGTTTTCACACGCCATCGCCACCAAAGTTTCGGAATATTTCTTCTCAGCGGCGCACCGGACGCAGAAAGCCTGCAGTGAGGCGACTTACCCCCCTCCTCTCTTTCGTCCAGTGCCGAACTGTGCGGTGGCCACTGGGTGTACATTCCGTAGGCTCTTGCCTGGTAAGATTTTTWAAATTTTTTTCTGACCGTCGAGCCCGACGCGCCGCGTGCACGGCCGCGCGCGAGTTTTCTTAAGTCGTGGCCAAGATAGTAGGCACTATCTTAAGTCGCGGTCGTGGCCGTTCAATATTATTTACGTTCGTTATAAGTCGCCGTTCYGCTCAAGTCAGGCGACGCGTTGCGTTATCGGCGTYATACACTGGCCGGCGCGCGCCTTATTGTTGTTGCGGTGCAGCTGAGACCTCGCGGTTGATCAACGGTACCGCGGGCCGCGGATTTTCGGTCATTCTTGCCTCTATCCGCAATCTGTTTATTCGTGGCAACCGATGTAACCCCCGGGATATATATGATGGTCTGACCACCAATATCGCCTATGCCGTGCAGTCCGGCTGATGACTAATATATATACATGCAGTGACGACCATATATCATATCGGGTCACCGGTCATTTAATTTATTTTACCGTCACGCCTCGTGCATGTATTGTACACCGCACACAACACTTGCGCTGTCCGTATACTCGGCAGACGCTTGCCGGACGCCAGTCAATCGTGCGTCGCGGGTGTTGCGCGTTTCGTGATGTCCTGTGCACGCGAAGAAGTCGTCGCACACCGACTTGGATCGTCCGACGAGTCGCCTTGTTGATCTGCACCAGGTCGTACACGTTTATCATTTATATCATTTTTATATTATTACGATGAAACTTGCCCGTTTATTATTTATTGTTATTGTGTTAATAATATTTCTTGTACACCTGTAGCGCGTTTTTTATGTGCCCGCGAGCTTTTACAATTATCATCAATTATTATTGTTTATTTTTATGTGTTTAGTATATTGTATTTATACCTTTAGTGTCCATTTCGCTGTGCATATCGTGTCCGTCGTTTATATAAATTATAAATCCATTGGTAACCTTCTCCCGTCCTCGTCATATCGCGCGCTAAGACCGTTAACCACAAATTTACCAATAGAAGGATCGGACTAGGCGCACAGCACAACAATTTAAATATTATATAATAATTAATAAGTTTCCATGCTCGTATAGCAATATAGAACCGATCAWTTTGATGATTAAAAATATAAAATTAAAAAAATTATAGTCATCAATATAGGTGCTGAAAAATGTAAAACAATAMATTTTCGATATAGTAAGTAATTATTTTAAACAGGGGGGAAATTATTGTCTTGATTAAACTTCAATTCCTCAGCGTATACAAGTGTACCGTTTGAAGAATAGTTAAAGGGTATTACATCTCGAGCACAATCAGAGGTAGTGACTAGA